CTGGAATTCTAAGTGATGCTCTAAGGATGATCAGTCTGTGGGTGGCGTGAGCCCCCAGAGCAGGAAAGGCAGGGAGCAGCCTGGGCTGTTCTGACCTTCTGTGCAAAATCGTGTTCAGGGCGTTGAATGCTCCACAGACTTCCCAGGTCTCGGTTCCTCCTTGGGTTCAGCTTTAATAATCCAGTGACCCAGGTCAGCATGACTAAGTCGGCCTCGTTTTCTATTTTAAGAAAGCACAAAGTCCTGAGGTCACCGGCTGCTGCTTCATTTGGGCGTGCCTGGGAGGGTCATGTCAGGGAGACCCCACCCTCTCCGGTCAGACAGAGGATGTACTTGAAGCAAGGTGGATCTGTTTCCCCTGAGCAAGCTGCTCCTTTTTGCTCTGAATGAACCAGATCCAGGTCCCCTGAATGAGGGGCTGAGCCCCACGGGCAATGCCAGGAAGGCCATGGGCCTGCTGGGCAGGGCTCGGGGCGGGGACCCCTTCCTTGGTCCCTGCACTCTACCCCCAACCTCCACCTTCAGCCTCTACCCTCATTCAGATGCAGACACATGTTTGTGGAACAGAATCAAATATTGGTTAAGGAAAAAAAAAGAACAAGGCCCTGGAGACCTGTGTTTCTTGTCTCTTTGCCACTTGCCAGCTTCGGATGCCTGGGCAAGTTTACTAACCTCCCTGGGTTTAAGTTGTTTGTTGCTTGTTGACAGAATGAAAGAATTATTAATGTGCTTGCTAAAGGGGCAACAGGCTCTAGCTTTTGCAAACTGCCACCTCTCTCTGTCTGCTCCCGGTTCGGTGGGGGGAGGCCGGGCTCTCAGTTATCAGGACCTCTTTACATCACTCATCACAGTTCACTCTCACATCTCTAAGAGCAAAGCTCCTCCTACTGTGATCCCATTTCACTGATAACTAGAATGAGGCCTGCTGAGATTGACTTCTCCAGTCCAGGCACCCTGACTGCAGACTTCCCCTGCTCAATCCCATACTGGTTGTCATTTCTGTTACTAGTTACTTATTATTTTTCCATCATGAGAAAACAGAAGCTCAGAGAAGTGGATGGCTTTGCTGGCTTCTCATGGCTAGCTATGAGATATCAGTTCAGTTCAGTCGCTCACTCGTGTCCGACCCTTTGCGACCCCATGGACTGCAGCACACCAGGCCTCCCTGTCTAATGGAGTTTTGCCAAGAGAACGCACTGGTCATAGCAAACACCCTCTTCCAACAACACAAGAGAAGACTCTACACATGGACATCACCAGATGGTCACTACCAAAATGAGATTGATTATATTCTTTGCAGCCAAAGATGAAGAAGCTCTATACAGTCAGCAAAAACAAGACCAGGAGCTAACTGTGGCTCAAATCATGAACTCCTTATTGCCAAATTCAGACTTCAATTGAAGAAAGTAGGGGAAACCTCCAGACCATTCAGCCCTTATGATTATACACTTGAAGTGAGAAATAGGTTTAAGGGACTAGATCTTATAGACAGAGTGCCTGATGAACTATGGACGGAGGTTCGTGACACTGTATAAGAGAGAGGGATCAAGACGATCCCCAAGAAAAAGAAACACAAAAAGGCAAAATGGCTGTCTGAGGAGGCCTTACAAATTGCTATGAAAAGAAGAGACGCAAAAGACAAAGGAGAAAAGGAAAGTTGAGATGTCAGAGCAGTCTACAAATGGAGTCTCCAACTGTGTCCCCGTGTCCTGGGGGAAGAGGGGCTTAGGGTGAGGACAGAGGTTGAGAACCAGACAGCAGACCACAGCCCCAGCTGCTTGGGAGGCACTGGCCCTCCGCACCCTCGGCTGGGGGACCTATGCGTGCAATGCCCTCTGGGGTGGGGGACCCGGGTGCCGTGGTTGGGAGAGCCTGGAGGGCTCAGGGACCAAGGAGCCTGGCTCCTCTCCAAGCTGGAGCTTCCAATTCCAAACTGACTCTAGACAATCCTCTCCCACACATCCTCTCCCACCACGCCGGGCCTGCACCCTGTTCCAGGCTGTAGAAAGCCACCAGATTAGACCACTAAGAACCTGGCTTCAGGTCTGCACTCAGGGGCTGTTTTCAGGGATGAAGAAGATGAACTCAGGGTGGATGAGGGCAGGAAGGAGAGCCTGTTCTGGAAATTGGTAGGTGTCTGCCTACACTTTGCAGAATAGCCAGTTTCCAGGGCTTCCAAGAGGACAACCAGAAAGCAGGAGGCTGCCGATGTCTACCTGTGTGGCTACGAGCCACATACAGGGGCACCAGTACAGCATCTGGGGCTGGCAGCAGGATGGCCATTCAGACCCAGAGAAGTGTCAGACCCAAGGAGACAACTCCCCCGGCCCAGTCCAATCCACAGGCTTTGGTGAGATGATCCAATGAAATTGTAATGCTGATGGTCAAGCTAACCTGGATTACTTGGAGGTTACTCCTTTCTCCCAGCATGCTTTGCAAGCATCAGCTCATTAGAGAAACCCCATCCCTTTGACTTTAGTAACTTTAGCATTATTATCATAGCCTCTATGTTCTTACAAAATTGAAGAGCATAGTATTCTACATGGTAACCTAGTTCATCATAGCAGGACCACATGGGTTGACTGGAGGTCCTACGACAATCCCTGAAACATTCAAGTTTCTTAGAACAGTTTGGACTCCTGCCAAATAATGTTCCCACTGGTTCCATTAAAGCAGAAGTAAGAGAATGCACGTTTGTTAAGTAGGTTTAAAACAGCAAGGCTCTCCTGGTGGCTCGGGGGTAAAGAGTCCACCTGCAATGCAGGAGACAAAGGTGTGGTCTCTGGGTAGGGAAGATGGAGAAGGAAATGGCAACCCGCTCCAGTATTCTTGCCTGGGAAATTCCATAAGCAGAGGAGCCTGGTGGGGTGCAGTCCCTGGGGTCGCAAAAGAGTCAGACACAAGTAGGCAGCTGAACAACAGAAACCAAAGAGCAGCAGAGCGCTGCTCAGAGGCACTTCTCTCCCTGAGAAAAGTACTCAACCCTCACCGCCCCACGGACAGGAGACCGCGGAAGAGGCCAGGACCGGGCCTTCCAAGAGTGGCTGCGTCTGTGAAGAGTCAGCCGGCCACTTTGTTCCTTCAGAAGGTGTTCACTGAATACACACGCGGCTTCTTTACCTTCTACCTTCAGATGTGACGAGGGAGCCTATCGCTTCATCGCCCTAACTGTGAGCTGCAGTTCCACTTACCTGATTTTCCTATGTCCTAAATGTCTCCTCAAATCCATGTATGATCTCAGGAGTGAGATAGTTTGTCCTCTAAAGACACCAAGCTCTGCTCAAACGCTGAGATGAGTAAACGCAGGCTTCACCTCTTGCCATGTCCTTTGCACGAATGTTATACATGAAATGAGACGCAATTATTACCCTTAGCTTCCTTCTTTATTACTCGTCCCCATTATTAAAATCTGATATAAAGTTCAAGCCTCCAAAGCACATAGATGCTTTTAACCTCAAAGAATTGAGAACATTCTCACCGTGGTTAATCATATTTTTAATACATTCAGTTTCACAATACGTTAATTTATTAGAATAATTTTGGCTTTGTGGGACTTGGGGGTGGGAGGTTACGGAGTACTGACTTTTCAAAGAGTGAGCACAATTTTGTGACTAAGTACACAATTCACAGGGAATTAGTGGCTGCTTTTTGAATATCTGTCTTGACTGTTCAACAGTGATCTCCCTGGGGGTGGGAACCTGGCTTAGCATGGTGTTCACCACATTGCAGGTATGCAGTGCTTCTCAAAGGAAAAAAATGTTATTGCTAGGACAGACTGTTCATCTCCGCTAGTTTCCTAAAGGATGTATCCTTCTGTCCAAAGAGCTGCTGCTTTGTAAATTACACCACGGGGATTCTGTTCCCTTAGGCTCTGGTTCTATCACAATGTGAAAGGTGATTATTTCAGAATCCTGACAATATTTGACCCCAGCTAACTTGTAGGATATTCAAGACTAAAAGATTCTCAAAGTGATTTTCCAAGAGAGTATCCTACAGGCAAAGTAGGCCAAATCCATCTGGTGTTTTTTTTTTTTTAATATTCCAGGTCACCCACTGTCCTCTCGTGAGCCATGAACTAGTTCCACCCACCTGTGCTTGGAAGGCAATCCATCACTGCACTGTGCCCCTGCCCTGGCTCTGACCCAGGATATACCTGCAAGCCACAGAGCAGGACCCCACGTCTTACTGAGCCTCCGGCCGCCAGGAGTCTGCTGATGGGTGATGCTCGCTCACCCGTGTCGGGGACACCACAGCAATCGGGCAGAGCATCGGTTGACGGGGTTTTTAGAACTCGCCACAGTATGACATTTCTATTTTGACTGAACTAACAACAATCTTTTTAAAGCAAAAATATATTTAACCTTCTTAGCATGAGGCTAGAGGGGCTATAATTTTCATCTTTCCTTGATCTTCTTCCTTCCTCATCTTTTTCCCTGCCAAAAATCCACCTTGGTAACTCAAAACTGAGTGCCAGTCTCTCTACCCACCACTGGGTTTAAATTATATCAGAGGCGGAGGGTCCAGAAGTCCAGGTCACACACCCCTAAGTCTCTCCTTTCCCTTCTAACACCCGGTCTAGGAAAATCAATTTCTGGATCCTTCTGTGTCTGCAAGTCTCCATTCACAGAGTGAAATCAAAATGCGTGGTCCCTCCTGTGGGGAATGAGGTCACAGGTAGCAAAGTGCTTTGAGCAACTCAAAGGGGAGGCGTGTAACACAAGCCTTTATTACTTAAGAGAGTGAGTCCGGGTCGGAAGGGCGATAGGCTCACAATCACGTGCGCTGCTTTGAACACGACGTGGACCGCAGAGCTTTTTCTTCACCTTCCCCACCCTCACGAGAGGCGTCCTCTGTCAAGGGTGCATCATTTATGAAGAACGCAGTGTTATGAGATGCGAACCTGTCACCGAATCTCGGTCGGACAGGGCCACACAGCCAGTTACTGCTCTGAGGGCCGGCGAGCGACAGAGCAGACCTAGCCCCCAACGAGGACACGGACTTCAGAATAAAATCCCATCCCTCGGCGCAGACTCCATGGGCTTCCTCCGCTCCTGCTTCCGCCGGTATCTGGCCTTCTGGTAGAAGATGACGATGACCGCGGTGACCGCGTTTAGGAGGATGACCAGCAGGGTGAGCCAGAAGGAGTATCCGTAAGCGTGGGACGTCCCTTGCTGAGTGGACGCTGGATAGAGCGGGTACAGCCTCTGGGCCAGCTCTTCTGAGAGATGATTGGACTGCGTGTTCCCCACAAAGAGCACCATGGTTATGAATGTGAAGGATGCTGAAGGGAAGAAAGAGTTCGTAAATAACGTAGTGGTATATTTTAATGAATATTTTTATTTTTAAGATTTTTTTTTTATTGGAGGGTAGTTGCTTTACAACGTTGCGTTACTTTCCACTGTACAATGAAGTGAATCGGCCCCATGCATACATGTGTCCCGTCCGTCTTGGACCTCCCGCACACCTCCACCCCTCTAGGTCACCACAGGGCCTTGAGCCGACTCCCTGTGCTATAGAGCAGGCTCCCACCAGCTATCTGCTTTACACACGGTGGTGTCTGTACGTTCAGCCTAATCTCCCAATTCCTCCTCCCACCTTCCCCTTCCCCCGCTGCATCCACATGTCTGTTGCCTACGTCTGCGTCTCTATTTCTGCCTTGGAAATAGTTTCATCTGTACCGTTTTCCTAGATCCCATATACATACGCTAACGTACACTTTTAAGGTCACTTTTTTCCCTTTATCAACCATGTACTCTTACGGACATTCACTGAACTTCTACCCTGGGGTTTACTCTCTTCTTGGCATTAGGGAGAAGATAAAAGAAATGAAAGACGCACGCTAGACTCTCGACCCCAGATGCTAACGATGATGCAGGGCGGCTGTGACCAGGAGCAAACATCCAGCTCAAGCCCTTTCAGAACGAGCTGAACTCTGCCCGCTTCCCAGAGTGATGACTGAGCCTGTGAGATGCATGAGCAATGGGACAAATGACTGAACACGGCGGTCCACAGGACAACCGTCTAGAGAGGACCAGGGTGGTGGGGAGGCTGAGGCAGGACGAGGAGGAGAGGCAGCCAGAACATCCACCCATCGTGATGGACAGGGACTGCAGGGCATCCGGCTCTGGGAGACGCACGTCCAGCTGATGGGGATGGGTACGGAGGGTCCTGAGCCCTGGATACAGAGGTCGGGCCCGCCTGGGGAGCTATGAACACCAGCCTGGCAATGGGGGTCTCATTCCACCCACCAACGAGGGGCAGCATGCAACCAGGAAGGCGCTCCTTACTAAACTCATCCTTTATTCTTCACAATGTCCTCCACTAGAGAAGCCTCCTCAGTCTTGGCTTTGGAAAGCCCCCGTGGCTTAGAACGTGATTCTGGAGTCAGAGAGAGCAGGGTTGAGGTCTCCAGCCACAGGTCTTGGGAGATGCGTTCAATTGCTCTGAACCTCGATCTTCACCTTCCGAAGGGGGTGAGCTACAAACCCCAAGGAGCTTCGAGGCTGCTTCGGGCTGTGGGCGGCACTGGGGAGGGGTTTCCTTTCACGGTCAGGAGAATATCCTCAAATCAACCGTGGTGATGGTTGCACAGGTCTGTGGATACACCAGAAACTGCTGACTGGCACTCTTAAATGGGTGGGCCGCACAGTATGTGAGTCATGTCTCAATAGATGGTTCAAAGGGCAGCGGAAGGAGGGTCAGAGGACGGCTGTGCTGCATTTGTGAGGAGCCGTCCAGCGGAGTCAGGCTTGACCATGCTGGGCGGCCGTCCAGGAGTCCCCAGGATGGAGGTCCAGATGGACACACACTCTCTGACTCTTCCGCCGCTGACGTTTACTCAACACTAGGAGGACACTTGCACCCAACGTGCCCTGGTTATAACACACACCCAGGGAATGGCCCTCCAGAGGCCCTAATTAGAGGGCTTCTGGGTGAGGAGTTTTCATTCCCCGTGATGACAGTCTTTCATCTTCAACCTAATGCTTTTATTTCTTAATAATAACAGGAGTGGGCGTGCACAAAGCCCCTCCCCTCTGAGCTTGTGCCTCTCACACCCCGTAATTATCCCTCGTTCTGCTCTTGGGAAGTTTCTTCTAAAAGCTTTAGTCAGAAGGGAGCAAAACCCAGAAGTGGGCTACACGCTGTTCTCTGAAGTGGACGGTCACGACTTTGACTTGAACTGCGAGGGGCGACCACCAACGGACATGGACGCTGAGCTGAGCCCCCAGTGGAAGGGGACACTGCTCACTGCCTGCTTCTGTGGTTTCTGGGACAGAAGGCCTAGAGGGAGCCCCGTGGCTGATGGAGAAGCCCCCGAGGGCTCAGGGTGCTGGCCTTCCGCCGCCCGCCCCCCAGGCCTGTCCCCGTGGGCGTGTGACCTGCCAATTACAGATAACGATCCTGTACTAGGACAGTCACCTTGAAAGTGAAAGTGAAGTCGCTCAGTCATGTCCGACTCTTTGCAACCCCATGGACTGTAGCCTACCAGGCTCCTCTGTCCATGGAATTTTCCAGGCAAGAGTACTGGAGTGGGTTGCCAGTTCCTTCTCCAGGGGATCTTCCCGACCCAGGGATCGAACCCAGGTCTCCCTCATTGCAGGCAGGCGCTTTACCAGCTGAGCCACCAGGGAAGCCCTTAAAATTCCTGGCTCTGACACAGAAACGTTAGGTGGTTTTCCAGTAGAATTCCTTATTCAAGTGAAATCATATTCCATGCCATTGGCATTGAATTTCAACGGAGATATGCAACGATGGTCTTAGAGCTTGAACAACTGAACAAGGACCTAAACAAAGCTTGCATAAAGTTCAACAGTACTGCTATGAACTTGCTGCAGACCAAGGGCTCCAGCCTGCAGATCAGCTGACAGACACGAGATGAAGGTGTGGGGAAGAATACAGGAAATGGTTCTGCACGCAGATTCCTCTGCTCTCGGGTTCCCGGGCTGAGGACCGAGTGTGTCGGAGCAGACTGCCTGCAGTGCTCTCTCTGGCTCCGCCGTCATCTCCAGCACCTCTCAGACTACAGTTCTGTCCCCTGGGGTCAGGGTCACCAGGCCCAGCTGGGCTAGAGGGCACAGGGGCCCGGAGGGGAGGCTGCGCTTCACGTTTTTGCCCTCAAAGCAGCATCTCCTCCTACTGCTTCAGAGACAAGCCAGCAAACCGCACCCCTTCTTCCTATAGCCAAGGAGCCTGTGTCCAAGCCCAGCCTGGAGAGGCGTGTGCGGCCCTTCCCTCAGCCTCCAGGGCGCCTGAGGGCAGCCTGACCCTGGCCGCTGGTGCCAGAGTGGCCCAAGGTAGGGACCCGGAGACGGCGTATTTGCGCACAAAGCCTGCTGCAGGCTGAGCCTCAGAGGACCCGAGTTTTCAGCAAGTTCTTCAACCAAAAGGGCCCCAAGTCCTCCCTTTGAGAGCTGGAGGCTGCTCACCTCTGCCTTCCACATCAAAGTCTCCAACTGTGCTTCAGCCCACCTCACAGCAGCTCTGTGTCAGAACTTGCCCCGAGCCTGCGAAGGAATGTGGCGGGAGCTTGCTGCCCGCCAAACAATTCTTTGCTGTCAGAACCAGGTGGGGGCTGGGGGGTGTGGAGGCTGCTGGCCTTGTTTCTCGAGTCTTCCTCCACAAACATGCATTAGGCCTCTGCCCTGGGCAAAGCCAGCTCATACTCAACTGTGGAGGAAGACGCTGAAGCCAGGGGCTTTCTCCTGCAGAGACCGGGGGATGGGTTCTGGACCCTGTGGGTATAGATGGAGCAACGCGGGTGGATTTTGTCCGGCTGGCCCCACACCTGACCCATCCCTCTGATCAATGTTCCTCTGAGATCCTCCCCCTCAGCTCCAGCTCCAGGGGGTCAGTATCCTCAGCCAAGGCGGGCCGGTCAGTGAATTCAACCCTGCCAGCTATGGAGACTGCTCCAGAAATGGAGGAGGCCAACTTCAGCAGGAGTCAGGTTTTGTGGGGGAGGGAAAGTCATCTTTTCTCTTGGGGTCGCTACATTCTGTGATGGGCCAGAAAGAGCTGGCAGATGTCTTGCCTTTAAGAGGACCAGCCTAGCTACTTACTGATGGAGGGAACACTGGAGGAAACAGAGATCTGATGGCTCAGGCTGGGATCCTGGATCCAGCTGTACCTGAAGACACCACTTCCCTTAACTTCTTCATCGCATGAGCAAAAATTAAAAGAATCTATTTTTTCCACCCTGGCAATGAGTGCCGACGAGTCTTGCCTTCGGTTTGGTTGACAGAGGTGAACTACGGTCAGAGAAACAGCTTGGGGCGCAGAACTCTGTTGTCCAGGTGAGGGTCTCTGAGTTTGGAACCAACTCCTCCAGGTCCACCATGGGATGGGAAGCACAAATGCTCCTTCCTGGCCGGCAGCTGATGCCCTTTAGGTTTGGGCATCTGCTTGTTTTGATCACAAATGCGCAGAAACAAAGGAAAGGGCTGGTCATGTGCGGATGTGGCTACAGCAGCCTGATCCCAGACTCTCGGAGCTGAGAGGCGGGTGTGCGAGCTTGCCTGGCGCAGCCCGGATTTCCAGCTGTTGTCCCGGATGATGTTTAGGAATCCCAGCTTGTTTGGTCAGAGTGTTGAGAGGCTCTTCCTTGTATCCTTGCCAGAATGGGGCTGGCTCCTCAAACAGGAGCTTGAAAAAGGCCACGGAGGAAGTGCGTCTGCACTCACACCAGCCCCGCCTGTGCTCAGGGCTTCCCTCCCCAGAGAGCCAGGGGTTCACAGTCTCAGCACAGCGCTGCTGGGATCCACAGCACAGTGGCGCCTCCAGCCGCCTACACTGGCCAGTGTCACGATGGCCTCACAGAAGGACAGGAAGCTGCCCAGAGCCCCCACATCAGGCTTCCTGATACCCCAATATCCAGTGCACCTATCTTGTCCCTGAAAGTCCCTGGTCTGTGTTTAAATACACCACCTGCCACACACAGAGGCCACTGCCAGGGCCATCCCATTAGTCCAGTTCAGTTCAGTTCAGTCGCTCAGTCGTGTCTGACTCTTTGTGACCCCATGGACTGCTACACATCAGGCCTCCCTGTCCATCACCAACTCCCAGAGTTTGCTCAAACCCATGTCCATTGAGTCAGTGATGCCATCCAACCATCTCATCCTCTGTCGTTCCCTTCTCCTCCTGCCTTCAATCTTTCTCAGCATCAAGGTCTTTTCCAATGAGTCAACTCTTCACATCAGGTGGCCAAAGTATTGGAATTTCAGCTTCAGCATCACTCCTTCCAATCAATATTCAAGACTGATTTCCTTTAGGATGGACTGGTTGGATCTCCTTGCAGTCCAAGGGACTCTCAAGAGTCTTCTCCAACATCACAGTTCAAAAGCATCAATTCTTCAGCGCTCAGCTTTCTTTATGGTCCAACTGTCGCATCCATACATGACTACTGGAAAAACCATAGCCTTGACTAGATGGACCTTTGCTGGCAAAGTAATGTCTCTGCTTTCTAATATGCTGTTTAAATTGCTCATAGCTTTTCTTCCAAGGAGCAAGTGTCTTTTAATTTAATGGCTGCAGTCACTATCTGCAGTAATTTTGGAGCCCCCAAAATAAAGTCTCTCACTGTTTCCATTGTTTCCCCATCTATTTGTCATGAAGTGATGGGACCGGATGCCAAGATCTTTGTTTTTTGAACGTTGAGTTTTAAGCCAGCTTTTTCAAGCTCTTCTTTCACTTTCATCAAGAGGCTCTTTAGTGCGTCTTTGCTTTCTGCCATAAGGGTGGTGTCATCTGCACATCTGAGGTTATTGATACTTCTGGCAATCCTGACTCCAGCTTGTGCCTCGTCCAGGCCGGCAGCCCATTAGTAGGATGGGCCATTTCTGATCACTCTCAAGATCAAGTTCTCATGGTGGAGAGAGGGACGGAGCAGGAAAAACCCCACTGTCAGGCAGGGGCAACAAGGCTCCCACTAGACCAAGCCCCTGGGCAAACACAGTGGCCCCAGAACCCGTGAGACCCTCAGAGAGTCCCAAACACTGTGACCCCAACTGGACCCCACTTCCCACTCCCCACCCCAACACCTTTTCCCCCAAACAGACAATACTACCTCGCAGCACCACCCAGCCAACGCCTGGGGTTCACAGGTCACCCACAGCAAGGGCGTCGGCCCAGATGTGCCACAACGACATTCTTGGAGGCTCTCTGCACCATCATGTTTAGATGTTAGGCTAAGTCGACTGCTGTTCTATGGGGGCAAGAAGGGGACTAAATAAATGTGCACGTGTGTGTGTGCACGTGTGTGCTTCTCCACGTCACATGGAGCCTACTTTGCAGTCAAGCACGCAGCAGGAGCCCAATGAATGCTTTGTTGATGCGAGTGTTTCTGGTTAACGCCTTACCCTAGATACTCTAAGGCAAAGACTGGGTATATTACACATTTTTAACACCTAACACGCCCTCCTTACCCACAGTCTGCCCTTCCCCAGGGCACCCGAAACACATCTGAAGATGCTGAATAAATGCTGTAGGCTTGCAAAAATAAACCTTAGCACCCCCCCACACTCAACTCAGCACACTCTTAATGCCCAGGGTCCGACCGTGACCATGTGTGTCCTTGTGTGAGGGAACCAGGGGACAGAGGCCGGGACTGGCCGATACTGACCACTGAGCCCGCTCCAAGTGTACACCCCCATCGGCCCCAGGAACGTCTGGTAGGGGTTGCTGACGCTGTTGTAGAAGGTGAACCCGGCGCTCAGCAACGAACTGAACAAGCCAAGGGCCAGGAACACGAGGACCACCGAGTGCAGAGTCTTCGCGGAAGAATTGTTCAGTATCCCTAAAACTGAAACAAGGGCTGGTAAGTACGTGGTGCCTGGACACAAGGACCAGCTCTGGGCCCGGAGGCTGACCCACCCTCCTGCACCCGGGGCTCCTTCCCATTCTGCCTGCCTAGGCACTGGGGCTAGACACCCTCAGCCTTTCCATAACAGTTCCATATTTCTGGAGTGCAGGGGAGCGCCAGACATGGATCTGCACACGTGTAAAATGAAACACGGATGCCCTGCGCCCTCTGCCATCAGTTCCTGCTTTCATCACCCTCCTCTCTCTCACCAGCAGCCAGCCTCCCCTGGCGTCTGCTTTCCCGGCTCCCTCTGCTGTTTACAATACAAGATGGTCAGATCCCAGAGGCACCTTGGCCCCACTCTTACCTGGAAGCCCAGTCACGCGTTTATAGAACATCTCCAAGAGCTGTCTGTGCATTGAGCCCCTTAGGAGACTGCCACTACCTTCAGTAAAGTGTTTACCAGGACGTTCCGTGAAAGAAGGAAAAACTAAACTGGGAATAAGATTTCAGAGTCCTCAGTATTACACTAACAACATCACTGGAATGGCAAGGTGCAGGAACCGTGGTAGCAGAGATAAGAAAGCCTTCCTCAGTGATCAACCATCCCCAAGAAAAAGAAATGGAAAAGGCCAAATGGTAGTTGGAGGAGGCCTTACAAATAGCTGAGAAAAGAGGAGAAGCGAAAGGCAAAGGAGAAAAGGAAAGATATACCCATCTGAAGGCAGCGTTCCAAAGAATAGCAAGGTGAGATAAGAAAGCCTTCCTCAGCGATGAATGCAAAGAAATAGAGGGAAACAACAGAATGGGAAAGACTAGAGATCTCTTCAAGAAATTGGAGATGCCAACAGAACATTTCAGGCAAAGATGAGCACAATAAAGGACAGAAATGGCATGGACCTAACAGAAGCAGAAGATATTAAGAAGAGGTGGCAAGAATACACAGAAGAACTATCATCATCTCACATGCTAGCAAGGTTATGCTCAAAATCCTTCAATACTAAGTGAACCGAGAACTTCCAGGTGTTCAAGCTGGATTTAGAAAAGGCAGAGGAACCGGAAATCAAATTGCCAACATCCGTAGGATCATTGAAAAACCAAAAGAACTCCAGAAAAACATCTACTTATGCATCATTGATTATGCTAAAGCCTTTGACTATGTGGATCACAACAAATTGTGGAAAATTCTTAAGGAAAAGGGAATACCAGATCACCTTACCTGCCTCCCGATAAATCTGAATGCAGGTAAGAAGCAAGTTAGAACTGGACATGGAACAACGGACTGGTTCCAAATTGGGAAAGGAGTACATCTAGGCTGCATATGGTCACCCTGCTTATTTACCTTATATGTTGAGTATATCATGGGAAATGTCAAGCAAGATGAAGCACGGAGTCAGGATTGCCAGAGGTATCAATAACCTCAGACATGCAGATGACACCACCCTTATGGCAGAAAGCAAAGCGGAGCTAAAGAGCCTCTTGATGAAAGTGAAAGAGGAGAGTGAAAAAGTTGGCTTAAAATCCAACATTCAAAAAACTAAGATCATGGCATCTGGTCCCATCACTTCATTGAAAATAGATGGGGGAAACAATGGAAACAGTGAGAGACTTTATTTTTGAGGGCTCCAAAATCACTGCAGATTGTAACTGCAGCCATGAAATTAAAAGACGCTTGCTCCTTGGAAGAAAAGCTATGAGCAACCTAGACAGCATATTAAAAAGCAGAGACACTACTTTGCAAACAAAGGTCCATCTAGTCAAGGCTATGGTTTTTCCAGTGGTCATGTATGGATTCGAGAGTTGGACCATAAAGAAAGCTGAACACTGAAGAATTGATGCTCTTGAACTGTGGTGTTGGAGAAGACTCTTGAGAGTCCCTTGGACTGCAAGGAGATCCAACCAGTCCATCCTAAAGGAAATCAATCCTGAGTGTTCATTGGAAGGACTGATGTTGAAGCTGAAATTCCAATACTTTGGCCACTGATGTGAAGAACTGACTCACTGGAAAAGCCCCTGATTCTGGGAAAGATTGAAGGCAGGAGGAAAGGGGGAGAACAGAGGATAAGACGGTTGGACGGCATCACTGACTCAATGGACATGAGTTTGAGCAAACTCTGGGAGTTGGTGATGGACAGGGAAGCCTGCAGTCCATGGGGTCCCAAAGGGTCAGACACGGCTGAGTGACTGAACTGAACTGAGGAACCATGGCGGGGGTGGGAGAGAAAGAGTTCGAGCTTCCTTCTTTTCATTCCTGTTTCTCAGGGCCCGTAGGAGATAAGCCGGAGTTTCTCACATCTTCACCTAGAGCAGCTTAAAAGAACAGAAACCAAAACAGCCACAGAAGCTTTCCTGTTCTGCTGTGGGTGGTGAGTTTTAAGGAACCAGGGCCCTAGAAGCCAGAGGGGACCCCCGGATGTTGTGCAGGCAGGAGCTGCAGAGTGTCATGCCATACCATGTCCTGGGAACAAGGAGCCCTCCGTCTGCAAGGTGGCCCTTTTCATTGCTGTGGTATCATAGCCATTGAAAGGTTCTTCATCCTGCATTTCTATGATATTAACCCTGGGTTCTAATGCTCCTTTGGGACCAATGCAGAATGCACTCCATCCTCTCCTGCCTGGAGCTTTTCCCAATATTTGAAAAGAGGATGTAAACCCAGTTAGTTAGTCATAAGATGTGATTCCAAAGCTCCTGCCATCCTGGTCCTGAATCCACACACACTCTAGTCTGACTGTCCCTCCCATTCGTGATGGCCAGATGGGATCAGCTCTCCTGATAAGATGTGACCCTCCCTGCGTCATCCTCTGTCTATCTCTAACACCTACGTGTTAGTCGCTCAGACATTTTTGTTTTAAATCAGCAGTAGTCTGTGAAGGAGCTAAATTTGTCATCAACGGACAGAGGGTAGACGTGAAAGACATTTGAGCCAGCAAGTCTGCCTTCACACATCCTGGCAGTGGGGATATGGTCATAAAGACCCTTGTGCATGAGACAGTTCATCCTGATGGCCAGGTCACGTGGCCCGGCCGGGGCTGGAAGCGTCCCCAGCTGGACGGAGCGGGGGCCGAGCAGAAGGCAGGCGGGCGTGGCAGCCGAAGCCTGCAGAAGAGGACAGAGGCAGGAAAGGAAACGGCCAGGAGGGAGGAGACCCGGGTGTGGGCTCCGGTGAGCGCAGCTACAGCCCTGCCAACCCCACAGGAGACCAGGGAGGAAGGGAGAGGGAAATACCAGCTCAGCAACACGCAGGCCATGAGCTCACTGCCTGGAGAGCCGGGCCCCGGGGGCAAAGTCCAGTGCACACACGGCCAGTCCACTCCTCCCCGGTGCTGTCTGGCCCTGTCACCGTTTCTGCTAATGACCCATGGGCAGGGCTAAGTTCTCCACACAGCTCACTTGTTTACACACTCTGGCTAGGTCTTCTTGGTGATGCGCTCGGTAAGAACTCTGACAGGCCTTGTCTTAACTGAGAACATGGTCCTCTTCGTCACCCGCTGTTGCCCAGGTGGGGAGCCCTGCCCTCCTGGAGGAGGGACCATCTGCACTGAGACTGTTCCAAGGTCCGGCCCTCAAGCCCGGGGCTCTGGCTTCTTGGTCTGTCTCACCCTGGAGATGAGTGAGGTGCTTTGCCAGGCTGTGAGGCTGCACACAACTATTTAGCGACTTGTGGAAGATGATGCCAGGGTAGAAAAACCAAGAAGCAGGACACACCTGCTTCAAGACGCAAGGTCAAATGCTATGGATCCTTCCAAACTTGGCCACCCCCCGGGAAGAACTACTTCTCCTGTGTTCCACGACCCCCTGGCTCTGCCTGAGCATCAAGGAGGAAGCTCCAGCACCAGATTGGAAGTTTCCTGGGGACTAAGGGAACTCTGTCCTTAACCAGTGAGACATAATTTGGATACTTAACTGGAAAATAGGGCTTCTCAGATGGCACTAGTGGTAAAGAACCCATTTGTCAATGCAGGAGACACAAAAGATGCAGATTCAGTCCCTGGGTCCCCTGGAGGAGGAACTGGCAACCCACTCCAGTATTCTTGCCTGGAAAATTCCAAGGACAGAGCCGCCGCTGGGGTTGCAATGAGTCGGATATGACCGAGCAACAGAGCACAACTAGAAAATAAAAATTTCAGCATGGGAAAAATGTCATGTGTCCAACTGCCTGAAGTCTGGAAACTTTCTTATTAAATCTGTAAATGGAGGGTCATTTGTGAATGGTGAACATTCCACATTTTAGAGTAAATTAGAAAGGAACAATCTGGTGTGGCTTTCTTTTTGACCATTGGTAAAATTCACTAGGGGACTTCCCAGGAAACTCAGTGGTAAAGAATCCACTTGCCAATACAGGAGATGCAGGAGTCCTGGGTTCGATCCCTGGGTTGGGAACATCCCCTGGAGTAGGAACTGGCAACCCACTCCACTATTCTTGCCTGGAGAATACCACGGACAGGGAAGCCTGGTGGGCTGCAGTCCATGGGGTAGCAAAGAGTCAGACATGACCGAGCAACTGAGCCCACACGGACATCAAAGGGGAGTCAATGTGACTCATACTTTTCATGAATGAATGTGACAATTTGGCTGAAGTTTAACTGCCACATTTCAAAACTGTATTTCAGCCTTCTGAGATCCCTGCCCCACAGATGTGACAGCCGTATCTCCTGCACCATCCAGCCTCCAACCTTTCCCCCAAGCCCGCTCAGAACTCAGACAGTGAAAGCTAGAAATTCGGTGAAAGTTGAGCAAGAATGAAATCACAATCAACCTCCACAGCATCTGACAGCTGCTCTCTGCCTACAAAATTAGCAAATACATTCAGTTCTTTTTTTTCTTGCTTTGAGGGGCCGAGCATCAGAATCGAGAAAGCCGTCTCACAATTGGAACCAACTGTCCGGATTCTAGCAGCTCTGGCAAAGAGGCCAAAATGTACTGGGCAGTGGGCAGTGCAGACGTGAACGGTCATCTGAACGTCTGGGCTTCCTGGGCCTAAAGATTTATATTCAAGCCCCAGGGGCCACCTGGCCCTTCTAGTCTGCTTTTCAAGAAGTCCCAGGAAATTGAGGCAGAGCTGCTGGCTTTTGCGTGGGGAGGAGCAGCCTCCATGCCCCACTCAAGCATCTGGACACCAGGGGGCCTGACCCAACGGAAGTCCTGGGTCTCTGGACCCCAGTGTAGCCCTGGAAGAGCTCGTTGACTCCACAGACACCGGAGTGTGGCCTGGGAGCCCCCCCTGGACGTCCCAGCTGCTGGCCTCGACCCTGGGAAATTGACCAGGGTTATCTCAGTCTGGGGAGGTGCGGGGGTGGCTTCCAAGGAGGCTCAGCGCAGTGGTTCAGATTCCCCCTGCCAAGGCAAAAGACAAAGGTTCAATCCCTGGGTCAGGAAGATCCCTTGGAGGAGGAAATGGCAACCCACTTTGGTGGGCTGGAGAGGAGAGCTCCGGTTATCTTGCCTGGGAAAGTCCATGGACAGAGGAGCCTCGTGGGCTACAGCCCATGGGGGTCACAAAGAGTCTCACACGACTGAGCAGCTGAGCACGCATGCACACGCATCTCAGCGAGAAGAGCAGGGGGAGCCTCTTCTGCCCCTTTATGCTCCACCTCCCAGCGGGGCCGCGTCTCTAGTGGCAAATAATAAAGTCACTCCTACCTGAGGGGAAGTACAGGATGTCTGTGAGGTAGGACTGGGCGGGTAGGAGAGGTAAGAAGGGGCTTTTTGTACATTCTGGAGAAATAAACCTGCTCTCTTTGTTCTTGCAGTTACTTGATTTTTCTGTAGCAGATTAGCTTCTCTCATCATTTTAAATGTGAGCCAGTAGTACAACTCTGAGTTCCCTGGGAGCAAAAAGGAAAGAGACTTGGAGGAAGGGAGGCATGTGTGGGGTGAAACGCCCCCGTGTTCTCATAGCAACCTGCACACACCTTAGCCCTACAGGTAGGGCAGGCTACTGGATTTAACCAGTGGGGGTGTCTTTCCCCAGCAAGACTATGTGGTGAGTCCACACAGGGACTCTGTGCAATTCCACACAGGATCCAAGCCCTTCACTTATGTAACAGCTGCCCAGGGAGGATTGTTTTTCGAACTGAAATTAAATAACTAGAACTTTTGGCGTAGCCAAGCAACATGCTCACTCGTGACACACAGCCCTTTTCACCTGGGTGTTGGACAAGCTGGGATCCTCTGGACAAGGCTGGTGGAGCTCCTGGAGAACCTGAGCTGCCCAAACAGTCTAGTTAGGCCATGGAGAGGTTCCTCCCCAGGCTGGACTGATTATTTTCCCGAAGTGACACGTGGTTGGCTGGATTATTTTTGCACGTTGAGCTCAGCCACCGTCGCTTCATGCTGCTCTTTCATTTCAGAAATCAACAGCCCCAGATTGGCACCATGTGATCAATCCTAGGCTGGACCAGAACAGGGTTTTAGCAATATTTATCACGCTTTGGAGGTTTCAGTCTGACCTCTTCCTGGCTAAGAAACTGACCTGGTTAACTTCGTATTTGAAAAGGCAATCCATCATTGCAGAGCAGAAAAGTGGTATTCATATCAATGACTTTACTGCGCTGCCAATGGCTGGTTTCTGATTGGAAATGAGCCTGTGTGGTCCTGAGGAAGCCATCTCACTGCAGGCTTGTCATTCTGCTCCCTGGGGACCTACACCAGCCAAGGCACCATCTACCTTGTGGCTACGTGGCTTTCCTCCTCTCTGCAAGGACAGTTGGCAAGTGTTCCCACTTCGAAGACTGCTAAAGCTACCAGCACTGAAGGCCCCCTGGGTTCCGAGGGGTCCCCAGCAGATTGTTACCCCCTGAAATTGAGCAGCACCTCAGTGTCTGGGAGGTAGAGTCCCGCCTAAACATCTGTGTGGCTGGAGGCAGGGACCTGAAGCTGGAATGTCTCTCTGGGGACCAAGAATAAAAGAAGAGAGCCAGGCAAGGCAAATGCAAATACTCTGCCTCCTTTGTGGGCACACACTGCCCTGCAGCGCCCACCGGGCCCCGCCGCCTTCAGGGTTCTCCTTGCCCACGGCTGCCCCCACCCTCCGACAGTCACCGTGCTCACATCACCCTCACAGGGCTCTAGAGACGGGCTGGCCCACCCAGATCTCCTCTGAGCTCCCAGGAGGCAGGGAGCCAGGGAGCTCATTGAAGCCATTTACCTCCAATGGGAACTAACTGGTTGTAAACAGACACTGTATGAAAATTTAAAAATTCCCAGACTGTTGTCTTATATTTTAAAAATTGAACATGTATCTGGAAATTCAGGAGCTAGAGGAAGTTTTAGTTTTGCAAATGGTATTCACAGAACTGAAAGTGGGACTGAATCTCTGAAAGTCTTTGTCTTTTGTTGACACGAAGTGAATTCTCCTCATTTTCCTGGGGAGCTGAGGTCAGTACAAGAGAAGACACGTAATGCCACTAACATACTGGCAGAGACTGCTTTTGCTAAGGTATAAAAGGCAGATTCATAATTTGGAAATATAATTATGCTGCTCTGGAATTAAGGAAATCATTTCATTAATAAAGTCACAAATTAGAGCTAGAACTTGGAGTTAAGGTCAAAGGCTCAAACTCCCAACTTTATGCATGGCGTGAGGACTAAACATTACATTTGCATAAGATAGAAAATGATGTAAGTTTAGGGCTTCCCTGGTGGTCTAGGGGCTAAGACTCCAAGGTCCCAAAGCAGCGGACCTAAGTTGGGTCCCTGGTCAGGAAACTGGATCCCACATGCAGCAGCTAAAGAGCCACATGCTGTAAATAAAAGGTCTCCCAACTAAGTGGGAGTCTCACAACTTAGTCCCACAACTAAGATCTGCTGCTGCAAATAAACAAATGAATAAAAATAAATACTAAAAAAAAAGGCAAATCAGCACTTGAACAGAATTAGACTTCTGTAATATAGCTGAGAGCTTTTCCTGTCTTATAAACCTACCATCTTATTGGTAAACTTATTGGAAACACTGTTTTTTTAAAAAAATGATGTATGTTTATAAGAAAAGAGGTGAGGACTGCATAATACCTGATAAAGCCTATATAGTAAGCTACGTGAAACATCATTCAGAACAAAATCTATTTAAGGTGCTAAATAGTTTATAAATTTTGTTTTTAAATTTAGAAAGCAAGGGTATGTATTTAAACTTCAAATGCCAAGTAAGTAGCTAAATTCTGCTTATTCTCAGTGAATTTTTGTTTTCTGCGCATTGAGAGTACAGCAGTAGTATATACAAAATCAGAAAAAAAATAGGAATTTCTGTAAAATATTTCAATTAATGTAAGTGATGGAAATTTAATATCAATTCCAACAGCAATGAGATAGTTTGGAAGTAAGAATGAAAATTCAAATCAGTGAAAGAAATGAACCTGAGATACAAGGATGAGAAATTGCCCGTATTTTCTAATTCATTTTTTCTTGTCAATAAACTCTGGTGCTGTTTAAGGCTTCCCTAGTGGGCTCCGATGGTAAAGAATTTGCCTGCAATGCGGGAGACTCAGGTTCAATCTCTGGGTCGTGAAGATTGTCTGGAGAAGGGAATGGCAACCCACTCCAGTATTCTTGTCTGGGAAGTCCCAAAGACAGAGGAACCTGATGGGCTAAGATCCATGGGGTCGCAAAGAGTCAGAGATGACTGAGCAACTAACACACACTGTTTAAACCCAACTCTACTAGAAGGATTTAGACTGTTCTGTTAATAGACCCAACCAGACCTGAGGAAGCTGAAATAGTGATTCAGTGAATTTTCAAAATTAAAAATATGCCATCATATCTACAGCCCAACTAAAATTTACCAGGAAATTATTTCTGAAGGGCTATTTGACCCAAATACAGGACGACGTGACTCTTAACCAGTTAATTCAGCCTCACTGTGCGCATTCAAATAAGCTGTAATTACCTTCGAAATTTTTGTCCGATTCTGCAAGTCCGTGATTCAGTTCTTGAATGCTCTTCCCACGAAGGAGTCCGTAGGTGATGATCACACTACCATTCGAAGAAGAGTCGCTGATGGCGATGGTGCTGCGGATCCATTGCTGAGTCGCCAGGACAGAGCAAAGGACGATGGAAGCCCCCAGGCTGCTGACGAAGCTGCATAAGAATGTCAGTGTTTTCTTCGCTGTCGGCATTTTCTCAGGGCAAGAAGGGTCCTAGGGTAAAAACGCAAAGATCTTTTTATACTATTTTTGAGCCTTCTCATTTGGAGCCCAGTGTTTAGAAATGGAGTCTCACACTTTTCTTGTGAAATATAAAACCTCACTCTTCAGGAGGAAGGGTTACACTGATGAACGTTGGACTGCGACTAGGGTCATAAAGATTTACGGTGCTGAACTTTGGTCTGGAGTAAGACGTTGCTATGGTTACATCCAACTGGGAGGAACAAGGGATAAACACAGTCTTCCAGAGACATCACCAATCACGCAACTCACTTATAACTCTTTTTTTTCAAGGGCCTTGAAAACAAAATCAGCCTACCACATCAGGACAGAACTAGAATTCCTAAATAATAGGCCCTGTACCCCTCAAATGTTACTGATTCTAGCAGCCAACAACAGAGTCCCACCAGCCGAGGGTTAATGATGTGACCCTAACAAAGTTTCCAAAGGAAATCCTAAGGAGACGAAGCTCTTGCTACAGGTCCTAGGGATTGGAAAGAGGAAAGCTGACACCTTATTTTTAGACTTTGATAAAGAAGTGCACCTTTCAAATTTCCTCTTTCAAACTGGATCACACTCGTCCGTTATTTAAATTGTAACTTGAGAGGTTTCATCTCTCTCATTAGTTCTCTGATGGAAGTGATCCTGAACAATCCTGCATTGTCTTTGCGACTCCCTTCTCTCTGTTGGGTGGTGAATAGTTTGTAAACGACCATTTCTGGCCTTTTTAGAGGAAGTCCTCCATTTGTCAAGAAGATCATTTCCTGAGTTAATAAATAGATGTTCACAGCATATTAGGTACACTTCTTTTTATTATACTCTTTATATTGAACTTTCCTGGTGACTCAGGGACTAAAGAATCTGCCTGCAATACAGGAGACCCGGATTCAATCCCTGGGTGGGAAGATCCCCTGGAGTAGGGAATAGCAACCCACTCCAGTATTCTTGCCTGGAGAATCCCCATGGACAAAAGAGCCTGGCGGGCTACAGTCCATAAGGTCACAAAGAGTCGGACACAACTGAGTGACCAACAATTTTTCTCTGGCTCTAAAGTTAAAGTCATATTGTATATGTACATTTTCATCCTGTGCTTTTGTTAGAAAGCACCTAACTTGTTTGTGGAATAAGCTGATAATGTCTATTTTTCCCAGTAGAATAACCAGGCCATCACTCATTTAACAATGTTCTCTTCTGGCCATTTTGCATATTATTAGTTTTTTTTGTTCATATAAACTTGCTTGAGAACAGATTAAGAGTTGCTGGTTCAAACGGACATTTCAATACCAAAGCCAAATTGGCCTCTCACTGATAAGCCTGCCAGCAATGGAAGAGAGTGCTCTTTCCTACAGGACTAGAAAATGCTGGCTATTAAGTTCATAAATTGTGGCAATTTTTATAGGGAATATTGCATTATGTTGCAATTCTATGATTTTCTGGCCCCACAGTTTTGCCTTTTCTAGAATTTCATAGAAATTGTTCCTTATAGTATGTAGTCTTCCTTTCCCAGTTTGAGATTCACCCGACTACCTCTAAATTTGTTTATCTGTTCAGCAGTTCATGGATATTTGGGTAGATTCAAGTTATTGACTGAAAACTCCTATACTTTGGCCACCTGATATGAAGAACTGACTCATTTGAAAAGACCCTAATGCTGGGAAAGATTGAAGGCAAGAGGAAAAGGGGATGACAGAGGATGAGATGGTTGGATGGCATCACCAACTCAATGGACATGTGTTTGAGTAAACTCCGGGAGTTGGTGATGGACAGGGAGGCCTGGTGTGCTGCAGTCCACGGGGTCGCAAAGAGTCGGACATGACTGAGCTACTGAACTGAACTGAACTGGCTATTTTGAATAAAGTTGTTCTGAACATTTAAGTACTAGTCTTTCTTTGCTACACTTTCTTTTCTTTTACTTAAACATACAGGAGAAAAATTGCTGGGACATACAGTGAAAGTGAAGTTGCTCAGTCGTGTCCATCTCTTTGTGACCCCATGGACTGTAGCCTACCAGGCTCCTCTATCCATGGGATTTTCCAGGCAAGAGTACTGGAGTGGGTTGCTGTTTCCTTCTCCAGAGGATCTTCCCAACTCAGACATCCAGTAAAATGTACTTAACTGCTGAAAAAACTTCAGAAGTGTTTTCCTAAATGTCTGCACCCATATGCATTCCCACAAGCAATGTGTGGTATTTCCAGTTGCTTCAGGTCCTCACCAACATTTGCTATTACCAGTGTTTTTTAAAAATGGCATTGTAACAAGTGCTTAGTAATTTCTCACTATGGTTTTGATGGTTTCACAAATATTAATGGTGTTGGACATCTTTTTATGAGCTTATTTTTTACCTATATCCTTTCTTTGGAGAAGTATCTATTTGAATCTTTTGCTCTTTTCTTAAATTGGTTTGACTCCTTTTTGTTCAGTTTTAAGAGCTTTTTATATGTATATTCTGCATATAAGTCCTTTACTAGGTTTATGTTTTGCAAACATTTTCTCCCAGTCTCTGGCTTGCATTTTTATTTTCTTTACAGTATCTTTCAAAGAGAAACATTTTCTAATTTGGATGAAGTCTAAGTACCAGCAGGACAGAGGAGCGGGTGGGTTACAGAACATGGGGTTGCAAAAAGTTGAACATGACTCGGTGAGTGAGCACACACACACACACACACACACACACACACTAAGTGCCAATTGTTTTCATTTTGTGGATTGTGCTTTAAATGTTTGGGCTTCCCTTGTGGCTCAGCTGGGAAAGAATCCTCCTGCAATGTGGGCTTTGCCTAACCCAAGATCGCAAAGGTATTTTCCCCCTGTTTTGTTCTAGAATATTCATGAATTTAGTTCTTACACTGAAGATTATTTTCTTATTTTGAATTTTTTTCAAAATAGCATGAAGTAAGGGCTGAGGTTCATTCTTATACATATGGTATGCAATTGTTTAAGCTTGATTTCCTGAAAAGAGTATCCTTTCCCTGGTGGATTGTCTTGGCGTCCTTGTTGGAAATCAGATGACCACATTCGTGTGGGTCTCTTTCTGGATTCTCCATCACAAAGTCTGTCTTCCCAGCTCGTGTCAATTCCAAGCACTGTCGGTCACACTGCTTTCCAGATGCTCTTATCTGTGACCTCAGATACCTTCCTCCCACCTGTATGGACCAGCTCTCAACCAAAGATTCGAGGGATGCCCTCTGCAGATCTCGAGAGCTTGCTTTTGCTTCTTTCTCTCTCCAGGGTCTTACACCAATTTTAGCCACTTTTGCTTCCCCAAACTCCGATTCTGTCTCTTCACCTCGAGATGACTATTGGTTCTCCATGGCTTCCTCTCCTGCACCATGCCCTGCAAATTCCTCCTTGGAAACTCTGTGATGCAGGGGTCTGTCGCACCTCATTCCTTTCTTTTCTCTCATGAATGAAAGCCCATATGTGGCCAGATGTCCAGTGTCTAGAAACCATCCTTTTACGTGTAATTTTCTGCTTTATTGCCAAGGACCAATCTGGTCCCTATTCTTCCATCAGGGTCAGAAGAGGCAGTCAGTGTTGATTCTTGAATGTCAGCATGGTTGCCCCATTTTCTTCCTCTCAAAATTTTGTACATATTACTCTGTTGTCTTTTAACAATGAATGCTGCCACACAAGAGTCTGGGGTCAGCTCTACTTCTTCTCTCTGATTACAACTGTCTTTTTCTGATGGCATAGTTGCAAAAGTCTCTATTCATGAAATGCAGTGGCTTGACCTGAATATATTTTGTATAGATTGTTCTGTATTTCTTTTTGCTTCTTATTCTGGGATTGTCTTTTCAACATCTCATTCGGTTCATTGCAGATACAGTTTTTTTTTGTATCCTATTTCTGTATTCATTGAAATCCTTCCTTGAGGCACACCAGTCACTAATGCGTTGGGTTACCTCTGACCTCCACGCCCACCATCTCTCCTAATAGCTTTGGTCTCTTTGTCTTCTTCCCCTGGCCTCACTGTTACTTTCTTCTGTGAGGCTAGCTCATCTTTCAATCAAGTCTTAGTCTAGTTTATGTATTTAATCCAAAATTGTGCGGCTTGGAGTTTCAGTCTGTCTCCCTCGCTCTAAAGCTTTCCTTTCATTTGGGTTTTCTTTTTTTGCCATCTCATCATTCATTCCTTATTTTAATAAGGAATGTAAGTCCTTACATAGCATAGTAGTGGTCGTGTTAGTCAGTCGGTCATGTCTGACTGTTTGTGACCCCGTGGACTGTAGCCCGCCGGGCTCCTCTGTCCATGGGATTCTCCAGGCAAGAATACTGGTGTGGGTGGTCATGCCCTCCTCCAGGGGATCTTCCAGACCCGGGGATCGAACCTGGGTCTCCTGCATTGCAGGCCGATTCCTTACTGTTCGAGCAACAGAGAGAATTCTTTACCGTCTGAGACACCAGGGAAACCCTACATAGCATAATACACGCAAAAAAACAATTCAGTGGATTGTGTATTTTCCAGCCCAGGAGCTTCCTCTGTCTTTGTTTCCTTTCGCTGTATGTCTACATAGTTGTCTTGGCTTTTTTTTTTTTTAATCTTGGTTATTTTTAACCTGGGCAGTTCTGTCCAACCATTGCTATGTTCTCATATGTTGCAAGTGATTCCCCTGAAAATTTTCTTACCTTATCTGGGGTCACTTTGTCTCATCTTTCCCAAGCTTCAGCTTTCAGCTGGATGACTTTCTCGAATTTTTTTCTCCCTGACTGCATCCAGGAAGAAAGAATGTACAGAGCTATGACAAAATACGTAAATCAAGTTGGCTTAAGCTCACATACATCTCAGGTAATGGAAGTCCCATGCAAATCTGGTACAGGGCCACAAACCAGCTCACCTGTCTTGTTCTCTTTCCCGGCTATGTTTCTTTAGGCTCTGCTCCTGCCGTCATGAACTTTCATCCTTGTCCAGAACTTTTATCCTCTCAGCTTTAAGCTATTGCAAAAACATAAGTAAAATAAATGCCTCTGCTCCA